AGAGGAAGAGAGAGAGAATCTCAAGTGGACTCCATGCTGAGTACACAGCCTGATGCAGGGCTCCATCTCCCGACCTTGAGATCATGACCTGAGCCAAAATCAAGAGTTGGATGCTCAATTGGCTGAGCCACTCAGGCGCCCCTGAAACTTTACTTTTTAAATTTAAATGTTTTTTAGATTTTCTTTGGATTTTGGCACACCATGGTGTGTTGAAAGTGACCTTGCTATTAATATAGGCTTAGGAATGAGCTTAAAGCATTTCTCCGTCATATGTATTTATTATTATTTTTAATAACCCCCAAAATCATGAGGATATGGTCCAGGGTGGTTTTGGTTATCATTGCCAATTAATGATCAATTTTCATTCAGATAATGCTAGTTCATCTTTGTGGACTTTCTTCATTTCTCCAAAACATCCTTGGACTCTGATTCATGCTTTTATTTTAGATCCTGCTGCTCCCAGTCATGAAACATGTTTGAAGAGTGAATTTAGATTAATTCTTCTTTCCACTTCCTTTATTTTTTAATTTTTTAAAATTTTTTATTGTTATGTTAATCACCATACATTACATCATTAATTTTTGATGTAGTGTTCCATGATTCATTGTTTGTGTATAACACCCAGTGCTCCATGCAGAACATGCCCTCTTTAATACCTATCACCAGGCTAACCCATCCTCCCACCCCCATCCCCTCTAGAACCCTCAGTTTGTTTTTCAGAGTCCATCGTCTCTCATGGTTTGGCTCCCCCTCCAATTCCCCCCTTCATTCTTCCCCTCCTGCTATCTTCTTCTTCTTTTTTTTTTTAAACATGTATTATTTGTTTCAGAGGTACAGATCTGTGATTCAACAGTCTTGCACAATTCACAGCGCTCACCATAGCACATACCTTCCCCAATGTCTGTCACCCAGCCACCCCATCCCTCCCACCCTCCACCACTCCAGCAACCCTCAGTTTGTTTCCTGAGATTAAGAATTCCTCGTATCAGTGAGGTCATATGATACATGTCTTTCTCTGATTGACTTATTTTGCTCACCATAACACCCTCCAGTTCTATCCACATCGTTGCAAATGGCAAGATCTCATTCCTTTTGATGGCTGCAAAATATTCCATTTCATATATATACCACATCTTCTTTATCCATTCATCTGTCGATGGACATCTTGGCTCTTTCCACAGTTTGGCTATTGTTCCACTTCCTTTAAATTGTTGTCCTTTTTCTTTCTTCTGTTTTTTAGTACTATAATGTCTTGCATTGATGCCTGATAGGGAAACACTTGCTTCCCTTATATTCATCACTCTGCTCTTATACTTCTAGCCACCAAATGTGTATGTGATTTTACACTAAGCAGTTCTTCAATTCTGTGCAGACACCAACTGCATGTCCCCCAGTTCAGTTCTGACACTATCTACCTGGTGTTTGCCCCAGATCCCACAGGTTAATGGCTTAGTCTTAAAAGGCTGAGATGCCACTTCAGATGCTAAATGCAAGTCCACCTTGTCACCTCTTCTTCTGACTGACTATAACTTGGAGGTTCCTGTGACCTCCTCTTTGGGTTTGATAATTTGCTAGAATGGCTCACCAGACTCAGGAAAAGTTACTTGCTAGGTTACCAGTTCATTATAAAAGAATATACAACTCAGGAAGAGATGGAAGAGATGCACAGGGCAAGGTATATGGGAAAGGGCATAGGACTTCCATACACTCTCCAGGTGTGACACCCTCTCAGCATCTCCACATGTTCACCAACCTGTATGGTTGGTTCTCTTGGCAGTCAGCCCTCATTTGGAGGTTCTGCAGGAGCCCTTAGCCACCAGTCATGTCATTAAGCATACAGAAACTTAAAATCAAAGTTTTAGGACCTGTGGCCAGGAGCTGAATGAAGACCAATTATATATTTTTTATTATAAATCACAGTATCATAGTGCTCTAGTAACTTAGCCAAATCCCTTCAGAATCTCATTAAATGTAAATGCCTCAAATTTATTATGTGCTAAGTGATTTCCATTTCTCTAAACTTATAAAATTTTATTTTGGTTTGACACTTTTTCAGACTTTTTCACATAGGTAGGTTGCATCATTTTATGTTCTCTATCTATCTATCTTAGGGCAGAATTTGTACCTTACTTGTTTAATCCTTTATTTTTTTTAGATTTTATAGTATTTTTATTTTTATATTCCCTAGGTTTTTGATTTCAATAAAGTTATTGTCTTCAAAGAAACTAGAATGTAATTAAAAACTTAAAACAAAAATTCTCCCATTTTCCATGGAGAACAAATGATATATAATCAGGATAATTATCCTAGTATGATAGTTGTTTTATTTTAAATTGAACCATATGAGATTACTGGTTTGGGACCAGTAATTATTGGAAATATTGTTTGAACATTGGCAGTTTTATATAGTTCACCTCATATAAAGCAGCATCCATATATAATAATAGATGTATTATCCAGCATAAACTTTGGGGTACTAAAAGGATGGGGCATTATCCTCAGAGAATAGGGCATTACAGTTTACTATTTTGGGATTTCAGGTGATACTGGAATTTTTTTCTGGTGTTTCAAGTTCAAAAGTGGAGTGAAATTATTAATATGATCTTAATTATGTGTTATGTATCACACCAGTGATATTGGCTGTCTCTGGATGTTGATATTGTAGATGTTGACTTTATCTTTCTTTTAAATGTGTTTTTTAAAGCAGTCATACTAAAGACCCTCAGCAGTTGTTTTAAGGATTTGAAGAGTGGAGTATTTCAAGGTAATTAATGAAAAAGGTTAATTGGTGACCATGGGATGCTTGGCTGAATTAGAGCTTAGGATCGCTGGAGTTGAATATATGCATGAACCAAAAGGCAAAAGTCAAGAGGTGTCAGTGATGGTAGGAAATGACTGGGATGTTTTATAGATGGCTAGGATCATAGAGTGATTTCGCTACTTGGATTGAACCAGACCAGAGTGGTTTGGAGTGGAAGACTAACCTTTGGAAATGGACCTGGGGTGTGAGAGTATTTATCAGTTGATCAGCTTTTATTTGAAAGAGTTCCAAGACAGACTGTGTGTTTGAGGGAGAGGAAGGTTTCAGTTAAGGTGGGACTATGGTGTGAAAAATTTTAGGGTGGAGAATAGTTTATTAAACTGGATGGAAGAGTTGAAAGCATTTGACAATGCTAATTACTTTTTTTACACTCTTCCCCCATTCCTCCATGGTTTCTATAATAGTATGCTGTCTTGTCTTCTGGTTTTGTGGTTACTGTTCTGCACTTCTTGATAGTTAATGCAGAACTGCTCCTTCTTTCTTTGCCCATCTCTTAAACATTGATGTTCTCCCTACCATCTTGCTATCTATCTATCTATCTATCTATCTATCTATTTATTTATTTATCTATTTTATCTCTGCTGAGTATACTGGTTGACATTGGGTGATTTCATTATCATAGCTTCAGATTTATTATTCTCCTTTCTCATAGCTTATATGTCTTTCAATGTATTATTTTTTACCCTGTTAATTCTCTATTTCCTCATTGTTTTCCCTAGCAAAATTCTATTAGTCCCTTCAAGGCTCAGCCTTCATTTACTTTCAGATCTAATTTCATTTATCCAGTTGCCTCTCTCCTCTTCCCGTTTTCCATCTAGGTTAGGAGCAACCTTACCTTAAATTCTGTGTGCATACCATCATCATAATGTTTACTATGATATTTCAACTGTTGGCTTACTTGTTTGTTCTCTTCCCTGGACTGAGTTCCATGAGGACAAGGGCTGTAGTTTTCTAAATCCTGTTCTTCCCAGTGCTTAGCAAAATGCTTAGCACTGGTAAATATTTAAATTAATAAGTTATCAATTGTATTACCAACTGTGTATGGATAGTCACAGAAGAGAAGGTGCTAATGTTAATAAACCTTAAAAGTCCATTTACCCTTAACAGTCATGAAAGAAATGAAAAGTTAAATAATGAGGTACTGTTTTCAAGAAGTACTATAGCATAATGAGTAACAGCAGGAATTCTGGAGCAAGGGGGCTGCCATGATTTGAATACCAGTTCTGCCACTTACATGCTGAATGATCTTGGTCAAGTCATCTAACCTTTCTGTGCTTTTCATTTTCCTAATGTTTAATAGTACCTATTTCACATCTTATGACAAGTATGACACAAGTATTCATTATTATTTTACATTTTAAAAATTGGTTCAATGTATTTGGTTTAGATTAAGACAGCCACTTACAGATACTGGTGATAGAAATTTTAATTTGTGTAGTGTTTCTGGAAAGCAGTTTCACATAGTGAAGCTTTCCTAACTATATTTATTTTTGGTTGAATAACTTCATTTTTAATAATCTTTTAATAACAATTGAAATGTAGACTCATGTTCCAGAATTACTCATGCAAACAGCTTAAATCTCTAGTAAGATGAGAATGGTTAAATATATTGTTGAATGTGATTCAGCAGTTAAAATGTTTGCATTTTAATGTCATAGGAAAAGGTTATGATGCAAGTAGATATCAAAGATGAAGCATTTTCTTAAACATGTCTTAAAAAATGCTTAAGAGGCAAATGTTAAGATGCTAACTTGTGATTGCTTTTGGGTAGTGGGATTTAACCTCTGTGAAACTAATTTTTATTTTAAAATGGAGTTAACAGCTGACATGCTGACATTAATTGCTAACAGAAGAGGTAATTGGAAAGTCTTTGGATGTCTCCTATTTTTATTAAGTCACACCGTCATTTTTGTTGATCATTCGTATCTGAATAATGAATAAAGTCAATCCTTGTTGCATTGAAGAAGTACAGCGTTGTGTTTTCTTAAATATTAAGTCTCTACATTTTTTAACATAGAACTTTTCAGCTTTTTGTCTGCAATTTTTCATCCCTGCAATCTATTATTAGTGCCCAATTTTCTAGAAATTATTTTCCAAATGCAAAGTTATTTTATGATCATGGTGATGCCAGTGTGGTTTGGTTTAGGCTTTTTTCCCCCCCTCTCTATTTTGTCTGCAGCAACTGGAACAGATCCAGAAGGAGCTGAGTGTTTTGGAAGAGGATATTAAAAGAGTGGAAGTAAGAAATCAAGAATTTCTCACATCTCTAGCAATTTTCAGTTTCATGAAATTGTCACTTTTCCTTTAAATTACAGCATTGGATTTATGGGATTTGTTTCCACTATATAAAATGTAACAGATGTTACTTAAAATACTTAATTTTAATTCAGAGTGCATTTTCATACAAAAAGCATTCTGAACACTTTATGATAAAATGTATACTAAATTTGTTTTCACTGTTTTATTGCCATAATTATTCTTGGGTAGATTGAAAAAAATCGTTTAATTTTCTTGGTACTCTATCCTAGTAACTTAAATCAACTCCCACAAAACCCTCAATTATCATTAAAATTATAATGTCACAATTCTATTCTTTTATTAAGTAAATAATTTTTTACATATCTACTGTGCTAAGGTTAATTTACAAAGAGTTACGAAAACACGTGAAGAATAATCTAGGCATTTATAGTATAATATAGTTTACTTATGGAAATCCATGGGAGGATCTTTTGGAGGCTCATAGGCTATTATGATGTGAGGTTATTTTCTGCAACTACATTTAAATTTAGTGTGTGTTTTAAATTGTTCATATGTGTTGTAATTTTCTTTTGCTGATATGTAGAACATGTTAAATGATCTTGAGTTTAATATTTTGTGGAAATTCAGTATCCCATGTGGCATTCCTAACTTGTTACTTGTAACTTGTTACTACTATGCTTATGTCCCTTGTTGTATGACTGAACTGAGCTTGGGTTAGACAGAAGTAATTCTACCTGATTATGTATCTTTAGTGGCATTTAAAAAATTTGCTGCTTTCCTATTAATCAGAATAACACATAAAAAAGGCCAGGTTGTTGGTATGATTCAGAAGTGCATAATTTATGCAATAATAGTTGATTAGGAGGCTTCTTCCTCTGAGTTAATGAGTTAGGCTTTAAGTCTTTATTTTAAAATGCTAATATTTGAATCAAGATGACTTGCTTAATGCTTTCAGAAGATATTTTTAAAGTAAACACACATCCTGTTTTTCTGGACTTTAGAGAGCTGAATCTAATGATTCACATACCATACTGTCATACTTATCTTAATATTTATCAATAGGTTCTCAATTGGATTAATGATTAGCTTATAGTACAATATAGTACCTCTCATTTGAAATATTTATATTTGTCTTTGTTTGCATTTGGTGGCTTCATTAGTGATGAACAATATTTATTAAAGAGTTTCTAGTTCTCTAAGAATGTGTACCGTAGAAAAAGCTGTCTTTGAACTTTTTAGATAATCTTGCTTTGTACTCTGAGGAGAGGAAGCCTTGAGAAATATGGATGTTGAGACAAAATGTGACTGATAAAAATCTAGGATTGGAAGGGAATATAATATCGTATCTCATTTTGACTTCTACATCTTCTGTTTGGAGTGTTTACTATAACTCAAATAATTGTGTTTTCAGGAAATGAGCGGCTTGTACTCTCCTGTCAGTGAGGATAGCACAGTGCCTCAATTTGAAGCTCCTTCTCCATCACACAGGTACAAAGCTTCAAATTTGTAATTACTTAGGATTTATGTTGCAAAATGCACATATGGTACTAGTCCTTGGGAGCCTTTTCCATGTAATATTCAAAACCCCTGAGAAATTGCTTTTGGTCATGATCTAGAAATGAGATTCAGATGGACCATCTGTTTCCTTAATGCTTTGAATTTTCATGCCACAAACAGCAGAATATTGTAATATTATGAATTCACTGTTGGATTAAAAGTTTGGTGAATTTCTTGAAATAATAGTAGCTTTAAATATCTTGTGAGTTAAAATCAAATGACCTTAAAAATCTGCAATTTGAGAACATGAAATGGTAGGTAATATTAGGGAGAAATTTGATAAAGTAAAACCCTGGGCTTTTCCCCTAAAAACTTTGGTATTTTCTTCATTACTCTGTGTTGTTAATTTGTCTTCTCTTCTATATGCTCTGTTAGAACAGGGATTATTTTGTCTTGCTCGTGATTGTTTCCCTAGGTTTTAGAGTAGCAGTAGTGACTGGCCTCCTTCAGTAAGTATTTGTGAAGTACAATAAATGTCTGTGGTTCCTTTTAACTTTGAAGTTCTAGTTGATGAAATCTATCCTACCTAAAATTGGAATTTGAAATTTTTGCTTGAAGTGTTCAAAGTAAGCAATTTTACATGTTTTTAACTTACTAATCCATTTAGGATAATGGCCCAGTGGAAGCTTTTCAAACAAACAGTTTTGGGATAACATGTGAATTATCAGGCAGTTCAGTGCCAGTACAAGAGATTACACCAGTCTTCGAAACCTGTGTCAGTTCGGGAAAGCTATGGTGGATCTAGTTTAGTATGATATGTGGGGAAAGGGGCACAGGGAACCTTTTGGTTAACGAAGGTTCCTGGGATGTTTGATATTTTCCTCATTAACCATTTATGGAGAATCCTTGTGAGTTCTAGTTGATTCTAGAGTCACAGTAGCTATGTAATTCAACTTTTTTCCTTTGTATTTTATTTTCTTTAAAACACTTGGGAATGACTCAGTCTGTGGGATATTGTTACCTTTAAGTTTAATGCTCAGTCTCTGAAATACATGGGATCGTTGTCAGTGGAATACTGTGTGAGTGTAGGCAGGTAAGCAAAAATTGTCATCTCACAAAATATTCACTGACAGTTCCCATTGTCCTGTCTCTCTCTTGTTTAATGGTAGCATTTCTTTCTATCGTGTCCAGGTTTTTGTTATCAGGTCTCTCACTGATGGGTTTTAGTAACATGTGATAATATAGTATTATATTACTTTAACGGCTCTATTTATTTTTTATTTATTTTTATTTATTTATTTTTTTAAAAGATTTTATTTATTTATTTGACAGAGAGAGAGATAGCGAGAGCAGGAACACAAGCAGGGGGAGTGGGAGAGGGAGAAGCAGGCTTCCCGCCGAGCAGGGAGCCCGATGTTGGACTCGATCCCAGGACCCTGGGATCATGACCTGAGCCGAAGGCAGATGCTCAACGACTGAGCCACCCAGGCGCCCTAACGGCTCTATTTATTGAATGCCTCTGATATGCACTAGGCCCTGTTATATTTGTTGGAATATAGCTGGCAAAGTCTCTGCCCTTAATGGAGCTTACCTTTTGGGAGATGTCTGTGTGAGGCTTGTGGAAATACTAAACAAATAAATATATGATGTAGTAGTACAAACCGTGTAAGTAGTATGTTAGGAAGAAAAGCATATTAGGGGTTTGCAAAAAAAAAAAATTAGGGCATATTAGGACTGGAAATAGTATGTAGTTCCAGTTAGTTTGTAAATAGTCAGGCTTCTCTGGGGAGGTAACATTTAAGCTAACACGTGAATGAAGTGTAAATATGATAGAAAGTCAGGGTCCCTGGGTGCTACAGTCATTTGAGCATCCCACTCTTGGTTTCTGCTCAGGTTGTGATCTCAGGGTCATTAGATGGAACCCCAAGTCAGGCTCTGCCCTGAGGGCACAGTGCGCTTAAGACTTTCTCTCCCTCTCCCTCTGCCCCCCCAATAAATAAATAAATAAATCTTTTTTTTTTTTTTTTTAAGATTTTATTTATTTATTTGACAGAGGGAGACACAGAAAGAGAGGGAACAGAAGCAGGGGGAGTGGGAGAGGGAGAAGCAGGCTTCCCGCAGAGCAGGGAGCCCGATGTGGGGCTCGATCCCAGGACCCTGGGATCATGACCTGAGCTGAAGGCAGACGCTTAACGACTGAGCCACCCAGGCGCCCCTAAATAAATAGATCTTTAAAAAAGAAAAGTCTTGGGAGAGTTTTGAGCAGGATCTGATTTAGATTTTATTTTATTTATTTTATTTTTTTTAAGATTTTTATTTATTTATTTGACAGAGACAGAGACAGCGAGAGCAGGAACACAAGCAGGGGGAGTGGGAGAGGGAGAAGCAGGCCTCCTGCTGAGCCAGGAGCCCGATGTGGGACTTGATCCCAGGACTCTGGGATCATGACCCGAGCTGAAGGCAGTTGCTTAACCAACTGAGCCACCCAGGCGCCCTGATTTAGATTTTAAAATGTTTACTGGGGTACCCAGCTGGAAGATAGAGAAGAGACTGTCCCAACCCCCTGCCATTAGAAATGTGGTAAAAGTTAGGAAGCAAGTTAACAGTCTAGAGGAGAGGAGATGGTGCCTTGGATTAGGATTTTATTGGAGGAAGAGATGAGAAGTGGTTTTGCATGGCCTTCCGTATCTTTTTTTGTGCTTTAGAATTGAATTTAACTCCCAAAACAGGATGTTAAAATACCTTTACTTACACCTTTTCCTTTTGCCATGAGAGAGATAGGACAATGGGAATTGTCAGTGAATATTTTGTGAGATGACAGTTTCTGCTTACCTGCATACACTCACATAGTATTCCATTGACAAAGATCCCATGTATTTCAGAAAGTGAGCATTAAACTTAAGGGTAACAACATCCCACAGACTGAGTCATTCCCAGGTGTTTTAAAGAAAATAAAATACAAAGGGAAAAAGTTGAATTACATAGTTAATGTGACTCTAGAATATCTTATTTATAAGATAAAGTAGCAGGGGCGCCTGGGTAGCTCAGTTGGTTAAGGGTCTGCCTTTGACTCAGGTCATGATCCCAGGGTCCTGGGATCGAGTTCTGCATTGGGGTCCCTGCTCATTGGGGGCCTGCTTCTCCTGCTCTCTCTGCCTGCCACTTTGTCTGCTCTCTCTCTTTGTCAAATAAGTAAAATCTTAAAAAAAAAAGTAGCAGATCTTACGGAAGATTCAGGATTTCATGAAATCTATGAAAACTTTGTTGGAAAACAACTAAAATCCTATGCAAAGCTATTGTCAAATGAGGTTCTGGAAGATTTAACTTAGTTAATAGTTGAAGAAGGGAAAACAGGCAAACATAATACTTTCTTCAAAAGGGTATTTTGATATTTTCGTAGAACAAGTAATTTGAATATCAAGGTTTGAGAGAGACACTTGGGAAAAATCACGTAGCCCTAAAGTACTCTTAGGAAATAACCCTTATGGTTAAGATGTGAAATTAAACATGTTATGTTATACTATCAATACTTTATTTTTCTTTATTTTTAAGAAATAGCATGTAGTTCTAATTATAGTAACCTTCTTCCACCATAATTATTAGCTTTATTATTTAAATACAAGACAATTTTGTTTTATTCCTCACTGTAATGTTTTTGGTCTTTTTTATAGCAGGTTTACCTTAAAAAGCCTTTTTGTTGATTCATTTATTTCCTTCTGTAATGAGGACCTCTTTATATGTCTGGTCATTGATTCCCTTACATAGATTCTTTTTTTTTTTTTTAATTTATTTGAGAGAGAGAGAATGAGAGACAGAGAGCATGAGAGGGAGGAGGGTCAGAGGGAGAAGCAGACTCCCTGCCGAGCAGGGAGCCCGATGTGGGACTCGATCCCGGGACTCCAGGATCATGACCTGAGCCGAAGGCAGTCGCTTAACCAACTGAGCCACCCAGGCGCCCCCTTACATAGATTCTAAGTTAATGATTAGATTATGTATTTAAATGAGAAGAAGAAGACATACAACTGTTTTCTCTTACCCCACTTCCCCCAGGATTTTATCTTCTGTATACCATGATTAGCTATAATTTTCATATCCTATGTATTCTCTTTTTGCTGTTTAGACCCTCCATATCACATGGAGTCTAGCAGTGGTCTTTTAACTATCCTCTTGCCCTGTATTGCCAGAAATCTGATCATGTTTCTTTCCTGCTTAAAATCCTTCAGTGACTTTCCACTACATGTAAGTTGGTTTAAATCCAACTGTTTTGCATGGCCTTCTGTATCTTTTTTTGTGCTTTAGAATTGAATTTAACTCCCAAAACAGGATGTTAAAATACCTTTACTTATACCTATTCCTTTTGCCTAGAAACTTCTGGATTCATCTCTTACATAGCTCCCCCTTTCCAAAGTGCCCCCCTTTCAAGAGTCCAACCAAGGGTGAACTCTATTCTTTTTTGATATACCATTTCCCTAAAGACTGAAGGGAGAAAGGAAGGAGGAGATAGAATTAAACACTTAAAAAAAAATTCTAATTATTTTGTTCTGGCTTCTGTGCTGTGTGTATTAGTTTTGTGTATTTTCCATAGTGTACTGTAATTTTGTGACTATTAAGTTTTTTTATACTCCTTTATTTTTATATGAGCATTTATACGTATTAGTACTTAAAATATGTTTTTGAATGAAAGTATACGTAACCTCGAGTTTTATTTAATTTTTATTAGTTTGTGAGATTATATATATATGTATATATATATATTTTTAAAGATTTTATTTGTCAGAGAGAGGGAGAGGGAGAGTGCACAAGCAGGGGGAGCATCAGGCTTCCTGCTGAGCAAGGAGCCTGATGTGGGACTCGATCCCAGGACCCTGGGATCATGACCTGAGCCCAAGGCTGATGCTTAACCAGCTGAGCCATCCACGTGTCCGCAGTTAGTGAGATTTTGATCGAAGCTTGACCTTTAGTATACTTAATAAATAAACTAATACAGTCTT